AACTCAGCACGCTCCTGCGTCTAATTTTTCCTTCTGGGGTGGCTCCAGACCCTTAACCCTGCCCAGCTGGGCTCCAGGGTAATTGGCAATCACTTAAAAAGAAATCATTCTACCAGTGATTTCAGCCAGAACGTCAGTAATATCAAAATTTCGCACTTCTGAGTGTTAATCACTCCAGCCATCGGTTTCGGTCCCAGGACTACAGCTCCCAAAATCCCCAGCCTGCCTGGCCGGTCAAGATGTCACCCCACCCATTATTTAAACGGGGACCTCATTAGCACACATGGAAAATTACCTGTTTTGTCGCTCCTCCCGTTAATGAGATTTTTCTAAACAAACCAGGAAACACAGACCGACATTCTGCTCTCTGTATAAAAGCCTTAATGTTTTCAGGGAGAAAGCAGGATCTGGATTTTTTTAAAGCTAGGGAGAAAAATTCTCAGTATTTGGGAAGAACAGAAGCTCACTGGAAAAATGAGTAGTAGCTTAAATGTGCCCCTGGCTGACTACATCTCCCACCATCCACATCCAAACACAGAGATTTTCCAGGTAGCACCTAGAGAGCTGCTGCTGCTGCCAGTCAGAGCTAGCTATATGGAGCTGGACCGACCCCAAGGCTGTGATGCAAAAGGCAGCAACTTCCCCTCTTCGGATCCATGGGGTCTTTGTGTGTGTGTGTGTGTATGTGTGTGTTTGTGGGGGGGGGGAAGGAGGCCGTAGTTCTGCAGGGCCCGGGGCTGGCCCCTGGCGCGTCCCCCTCCCTGGCTGGCGGGTGGTGCCTTTCATCCAGGGGGCCGGGACGACGTTCAAAGGGCTGAGACAATTTGTTACTTTCTCTGTAAACTTTTTACAGCCTGGGTAATTATTGTGATTAAATGCCTGCCTGCCAGGCGGTGCCAGGCTGGGCTCGACTCCTCTTCCCTGGCCGCTTTTTCTGGTGTGGCAAGCGAATTTTCCCGGCCACAACAAAGGGCGGCTGGCTCCCCACCCGTCTCCCCCACCCTGGTCCCCTTGGCATCTGGGTGGCCCTCGGTGCCCTGCATGAAGGCCGCCCGATGCCAGGCCTGCCTTGGGAACGTCCGAGGGACCGGCTTGGACAGTTTGCTCCCCCCCTCCCCGGGGTGGCCCAGCTTGCTTGGACCGAGAGAGTCAGCGTCCAGCCTCCCTGCCTGGGGGAGAAGGGGCTTTCGTGCCCCTCGCTCCCCTCTTCAGCCCCCCCACACAGACTCTGCAGATCAAACGGAGGGCATTTCATCTGGTTTGCCTCTATGAGCCGCCTTTCTTCCCTCAACGACAAGGTCCTAGTCCTCATGAGCAGCGACTTGGCTTCTAAGATTGGGGATGCCGGGCGGAGGACTGTGGTGCGAGCATCCACACGGAGAGGCAGAGATGTCCTTCTTGCAAAATTTCAGGGGCTCAAATGAATTCCTCAACATTTCAGCGGCAAACCTATTTCCCCCTTAACACCGTGGCCTGCTCGGTTTCTCCTGCTGGAAGTGTATTGCTCTCGGAACGGAGAGAGGTTCGTGTGCGGGACTACAACTCCCATCATTCCCCATTTAGGTCTGGGAGATGCTGTCCAAAAGCAAAGCTAACCTTTCCATATCCTGCCTGCTTTTCTTGATGTTTCCGATATGCTTCCCACGACACACAGTTTTAAGGAGTGTTGTGTTACAATGTTGTTACGAATTATGGCTACGAGTATTTTGTATGGTGTTTATTGCATCGCATTGCAACGTATTGATTTATTTATTTTGCAAACCTCTTTGGGCAGACAAGGCCCACACAACCTCGGTGGGCTGGGTGAGACTTGACGACAGGTTTTTCAATAGCCGGGTGAAGAGCCCTGTGGAACTCAACAGCTTGTCCAAAGCAGCAAAAGTCAGGTCAAGGAAAAAAGGAGACAATTTATTTGGGAGAGGGGGGTGGAAATATATATATTCCTCTGAAGTGTGGTGTTGAGGGAGAGTTTGAGGGCTGACCACGGACCTCCTGAAAGACAAACCAGGGGCAGCTTGATCAAATCTGTGTGGCATTGTGGATAGATGAGGGCCTGGGTTCAAATCCTCGTTGGGCCCTAGAGACTTACTGCAGATGGTCATGGGAAAATCGCTCCTTAAATATCTCCCTGACCTTGGAAGCCCTATTAAGGTCACCCTAACCGGGAGCACCGAGCCGAGCGCCAACCCTCACAAGAGGCTAAAAGGACAGAATTGAGGCTGTGGTGCTTTGAGCGGGTCGTGGCGAGCTCTTGCCGGAAATGGACCAGCAGCAGGAAAAGAGGGAGACCCGAGTGTGAGAGGGACGGACTCCCCCAGGGAAGCCTTGATGGGGCTGGGCATGGCGGGATCTCCCGGGAGTCCATCGCGCTTTGGGCGGCCAGCATCGGACAGCCGGTGACCTGAAGGCCGGGCCTGTCCTGGGCAAGGCTGGACGGGAGTGGCCCGTGGCCCGTGGCCTGTGGCCGTGGCTGCCGGCTGCCCGGGACTTCCAGCCTTCCTCCAGCTCAGCCTTGGGGGGGAAAGGGAAGGGGGAAGCGCCAGGTGTGCGTGAAGGGGAAGGCGGCTGCAAGGTGGGGTGGAGGGCAAGGAGGCTGAGCTGCTCCCGGAGAAGACGACATGATTTATGAACGCCTGCCTCATGCCAGAGGAATGACACCACCGGGGAAGCCTCGTCGCTCTGGGGGACGGGACGGGACGGGGAGATCCTTTCTGAATTCCCAGCAAGTCCCATCAGGAGGGCCCTGGAGTGATGGGGGCACCCTGTGGGGAGCAGAGGGGCAGCGGGTGGCGAGGAGGGAGAGGAGACCCCCCGCCCTCTTCCTCAGCCCAGGTCAGATCCTGTTTCTGAGAGAGGGCCCTTTGCTGAAGAGGGCTGCGAGCTCCCATCATCCCCATCGAGCATGGGCTGGAGAAGGATGGGGTTTGTAGTGCTATGCCTCTCGGAGAACACTTTCCAGGCCAGGGAAGGCGGGACGGCATCCAGAAAGGCCCGTCAGACAGACGGACGGACAGGGAGGCAGGCAGACCTATGGACAGCTTCTGGGGCTTCGAAAGGCTGAGGGACGGTGACAGATGTGGCCGCGCTCGCTGGGGATTCTGGGCGTTGTTGTCCCCTCCACTCATAATGTTTCTGGACCTTTCGCCCGGGTTGATCCGGCCTGCGGGTGGACAGGTTCCTTAAAAGACCCGTGTGGAGTCCCCCCTGTGTGGCTCCGTGGTCGTGTCTCTCTCTCTCCCCCCCCCCAGCTTTCCTTTCAAAGCCTGCCTGTCCACATTTGAGTGTCACGCCACGAGAACCGTCCACGCGTGGGGGCCGGGGCCTAGGTGCACGACCACGCGCCTGGCTGTCCGCTCGATGGACCCACGGCCAGGTTTTCTCGGGCAGAGAGAACATTTCCCTTTTTTCCTCTCCTGTGTGATGAAATACAGGATAAGCACCACGTGAAGCTGCCTTTAACAGGGACCAGCTCTGACAGTGCTAATTAGCGCTTATTAAACGGGGTTTATTTTGGGCACCTGGCATGGGATTAGTACGTGCTCAGCACCATCCGGCTTGTTTGGGTACTTTGGCCCCGGCTCCCTCCCTCTGTAAAGTGGCATGAATCAGGGCTATTAACCATGGAAGAGCTATATATAAATATACTGTAAATGTGAGCTCACCTGGTTAAGCAAGATCCTAGACCTCATGAAGCCCAAGAAAGGTTTGATTTAAATGGACCCAAGAAGGCAAAACACCCTGTTTCTGAGCTGCTCGGTCAAAGGGGTCCTTAGCCGTCCGAGGCCCTCTTGGCGAGTTGAGCCACCCATTTCCTGGCCCTGAAACTTTCGGGGGCTACCTCAATCATCCTCCAAGCTGAAAGGGGCCGAAAGCCACCCTTCTTGTCCTGAAAAAAGGTTGTGGTCTTTTTTTGGGTGTGTGTATTAAAACCATTTTGGGGAGGGGTCCCTGCTCCCTAGGAAAAAGGGATCTTGGACAAAAACGGGGGGTGGGATTTTAAGGAGCACAACAAGGGTCCCCTACCGGGGTCCCCTCCCCCTGTGCCACGTGTCTCCTCGCCCCCTCTCCTCTCTTGCGAGGGGATCTGCGAGGTGCACCTGGGTTTCTCAAAGCAGGCACCTGCTACCACCCCCCTTGGGGCAGGCACGCACGCATGCACGCACACGCTCGCTCACCTGCCGTGCCAAATCGGGACTCGCTCAACCAGCCGGGGTGCGTGATTAGGATCGGGGGCTGGAGGGGTGGCAGAAAGGGTGTGGCCCGGGTGCGAGGAGAGTTCCCGGAAGACCTGTGGCCTTGCTTGGATTGTGTGTGTTTTTTCTTTTACCCATGCAGATCTCGTAGCCTGGGTGAGAGCCTAGCCTGGTTAAACAAGATCCTAGACCTCATGAATCCCAAGAGAGGCCTGCAGCTCCCTTCGAAAACCACCCTTCCGATGCGCTTCTCCCTAACTCACCTCTAAGGAGCCAGCCTGGCACAACCCGCTGCCATGAATTTCGGGCGCTCATATTTATAATGTTCCTACAAGATTTCGGTGCCTGGCCTGAGGAGGTGGACTGGACCCACGAAAGCTTGCTGGCGGCTGGCTTTTTCCCGGTGGTCTCTTGAAGCCGTCGCCTGCTCCTGCGTTCGTAAAGTTTGGGAACAGCGGCCTCCTCTGTTGCTCCTTGCAGCGACGGCTCTGGGAGCGCTTGGAACAGATATGGAAAGGAGGTGCTGGGTGCGAGAAACCCTCTGCAGGGGTGAACGAATCCATTGGCCACATAAAACTTTTCTCAAGCTAAAGCACCAAAGACAGGAGGCGGCTTCTGATGCAGTGTTATACCTATGGTGCGGGTGTGTTTAGCGAGCCTGGGAAAGGACCTCGTGGCAAAGGGGACAGGACTGGTTCAATGTGATGTTTATTGTACAAAAATGTGCTTTTTTCCAGAGAAACCGCAGCTCTTGCAGGCTCGGGGCCACCCAGGGCAGCCCCAGGCTTTGCAGCTGCCTTCATCTCGTGGCAGGCGGACTGGAGGACCCTGGTGGGCTGGCCTTCCACGCCCCTGCCGATCCGTCTCAACAGGCCACGGGCCGTCTGTGTAGAAAATGGCCGCACAGACTCGGGCAGAGACCCAGCCCGGTGCTCGGCACGGGTCCCGGCTTCCATGAAACGCCAGGGACCGGGGCCCTCGAAGCTCTCGAGGGGTGCTGGGGGTGAGCCGCGCGGAGTTGCTGACTTCCACACACCCAAGCGGGAGGCCGAGGACGGCAAGCGGTTGCTGGCCGGGGCAGGCAGGATCTGTGCGCTGGTCTTGCTTCCGGAGGCCAGCAAGAAAATGGGGGCGCCGCCCCGCTCCAGAGGGGCAACCCCAGATGCCCTGGGGCCCCAAACATGGCCCCCCGAGGGCCGCCTTGGAGGGGTGTCCACGCCGGGAGGGCCCGCCTTCCCACTCTCAGCACTGGCTTCGGGTGCTGTTGGCCCAGGAGGGGAAGTGGTGGAGGTCGAACAAGGGGGAGGCCCAGGTGTTGATGGCCAGGGTGATGGTCAGCACGCCCAGGACGTTCAGAACGCACCCCGCTTTGACCTGAGGGTGGGGAGGAAGAGCCGGGCTGAGTCCGAGGGCCCAAAGAGGAATCCCTCCCCCACTTTGGGCTCCCTCCCCCCCAGTGCCCGGTGGGTGGAGAGGCAGGCTCTGGACACCCTCCGTGCCCGAAGGAAAGTGGACCTTCTCATCCACCCGCCCGCCCCCCTCCAGGGTCTGTTCATAGCGGCAAGGGAAGGGGGGGGCTCACCATGTCCACCACGCGGAGGTGCCCGTAGGAGAAGACGATGGAGTTGGGAGGGGTGGCCACCGGGAGCATGAAGGCCAGCGAGGCCGACAGGGTGCAGGGCAGCATGACGTACAGCGGGTTGAGGCAGATGGCCTGGGCCTGGAAGGTCCCAAACAGTGGAGTTTTTACCCCAAAACGGTGGATGGTGTCGGCAGGGGCCTCGGGTCCCCGCAGAGCGCTTTCCCCACTTCCTCCTGGGACTGGGTGTGTGTGTGTGTGTTTTCCTGGGGAAGCCCCAGATGGAAAGCAGCCTCCTGCCCCCAAGGAGGCTCAACCCCATGCCCCATCTTCCCCAGCCACGGGTTGCCAGGGCAGGGGGCGATGGGTGATGTAGTCAAGCAAAGCCAGATTTGGGGAGGAGGCTCGGAGAGAGGCCAAAAACTCCCCACCCCACCGACTCGGGGCCCTTGGCTCCCCAGGGCTCCTGGGCCCCCTTACCATGGAAGCCAAGATGGGGAGGAAAAGGGTGGTGGTGGCCACGTTGCTGGCACATTCCGTGATGGTGGCCACCAAGAGGCAGATGATCACGCTGGTGGCGGCCGGAGGGATGTTCTGCAAGGGGGTCAGTTTGCTTCCCAGCCACTCGGACAGACCAGAAACCTAGAGAGAAGGGAGCAGGAGGTGAGTGGAAAAAGGCAAATGCCTTTGGGGGTCAGACTAGAGGACCTCTCGGTATTCCCAGCCCCACTCTGAAGCAGAAGGGGAAACGGGGTGCAGCCCAAGGAGGGGTCCCTTTGCTTCACCGGGTGATAAAAACGAAACGCAAAGGACGTGTGGAAACCGCCAGAAATTCTGTACGTAGCTTTCAATCTTTTTCTCCTAAAAGCAGAGAAAAGTTATGGTCGAATCAGACTATCTAGCAATGTCCATTTTTAAAAAAAATTAATTTTCAAGAAAGGAAAATTCTTTTTCTCATGTTTAAAAAGATGCTTGAAAACCTCTAAAAGATTCAGGCAAGGGCACCGCTGAGGAACAGCACAGTGGTTTTGAGGGCTGGGCGAGGAAATCAGGATTTCCAGTCCTCCCAGGGTAAAGAAATTTGCTCCAGCTGCCTTAGGGCCAGTCGCTCTCGCTCAGGCTGGCCTACCTCAGAGGGTCGTTGTGGGGCTGAAGCTTTCCAGAAGAAGAAGACTCCTGTGGGAGATTTTGCTGTCCTGTGCTGCCCCCTAGTGTCTGGAAGGAGCCTCTCCGGCACAGAATCATCCAGCCAGACGGGATTGCCTTTCCGCCCCCCCCCCCCCCCCCCACCTCCCCTTCGTCATACCCTCCCAGGCTGGGGATGATGGGAACATTGACTCTAACATTGCACGGAATCTGGCTCAGGCGTCAGAGAGGGAAGAGAAACAGATTGCCCCATTTCTGCTCCGGCCCCGCACCGCCTTTCACTCCGAACTTCCCGAGAGCCCCCCCTCCCCTCGATTCACCTGGCTTCCTTTGGCCAACGCGAACCCTGACCCCAAGAGGAGGACGATGTTCCACGACAATTTCCGGTTGACCGTCGGCCAGTCCAGGAGGGCTGGGGTGGTGCGGGTCTCCTTTCCGCGCCCTGCAAGGCAAAGCCCCGGCTGAGAGCCGGCAAATAACAGGCGCCCCCCCCCCTTTCCACAGCGTTTCAGGAAAGGTGGAGGGGTGCGGTGGTAAGGGGCAACGTAGCTTGTGGGGGTTTTTTTGACTGACCTCTTTAGCTGGACACCAACCTCCCACAAAGAAAGTCTGAAAAATACAGACCGTCTCTGGGTTCGTAACAACAAAGCCAATTCTAGACACGTTGGCCAGGCTACTCCTTACCTCCGTGCTGGGCCCTGCCCCAGAAACCGCAGCCGGGCATCTCAGAGGGAAGGCAGAAGAGAGCCAGGACAATGACAAGGACCACGGTGGCATCGGTGACGTAACTGGGAGAAGCAGACGGGAGACATGAGGCAGGCGGGGGAGGGACGATGGGAGCTGTAGTTCTCCGAGGAAGTGCTCCAAGCTCTTCTGGACAGGCCGGGTGTGGGGCAGAGAGCCTGGTGGGGGCAGAGGAGGGGCAGAAAGGGGTGGGGGGCGGGTGGCCTATGTCTCACCTCTGCCCGTCATGGCTGAAGGTGACGTCGGCCCAGCCGGTCATGAATCCGGGCGACCTGGTGAACCACAGCAGCACCAGGAGGATGAAAAGGACGAGGACGAGGCTCTCGGAAAACTTCATGGACCCCAGGGCTCGGTGCTCGCGCTTGATCACCTCGTACGCCAGCCTGGACCCCGCTTTCTCGGACTCCTGGGTGCCACAGCCAAAGTTTTTCCGGAAGCTGAGAGAGAAAAAACAAAACAGGAAAAAACGTCTCTCTCTCTTTCTCTGGCTTTCTTCAGCCCGCAAACTGGCTCCAAACGAGGACTGAGCTTATTTCCTCCCTTGCAAAGAGCAGAAAAATCAAACTTGGCAATGACAACTCCTATCACTTTAGTCAGCTGGGGGGGAACAGTCACGGTCTTTTTTTTTACAAAAAGCAGATTTCCAACATTGTTGTCGCCAGCTTGGAATTTATGCCTTTCGTTATCGGTTACATCTTTATTTCACCTTTCCTCCTGCTGCTCCGGGGAGTGTACATGCCCCCCCTCCTCCTCCCTACAGTTGTCCTTCAGAAGAACAGCCCTGTGAGGTAGACCCCCTCCACTGCCACCCAGGGGAGCATGGGGACCCGTGTTCTCTTGAGTCAGGCCCTCGATGTCCCTTAAGCTCAACACCGTCAACTCTGATCGGCAGCCGCAGTTCTTTGGGGGTTCCCCCAGCCCAAAGATGGGGAGGCTTGTGGGGTTTCCTTGGGGTATTAAGGCCTGCTTAGCTTCCAACCTCCGATGGGTGGCCGGGACGGGATGATGGATCCAAGGATACAAGCCCAGGCGGTGGGCTGTTCGTCCGGCAGGCTTTCTCCGAACTTTTGGGGAACTTACTCAAAGCCCAGGAAGAGGATCTGAAGCCAGAGAGAGGAGAGGACCAGAAGCAGCACCATGGTGGGGAAAGCGAAGCCGAACCAGGAGGCGAAGTTGATCACGTTGGCGTTGTCGGGGAAAAGCCTGGCACAGGAGGTGGGGGGGGAACATCAGAAAAGATACAGGACCCCTTCCTGCAGTTTGAGGGTGTCAGGATGGCCGAGCACTAAAGGAAAAGGGAGGAGGAAGAGGAGGGAACCCGACTGCCCCCATGGGCTCCAGTTCTCGGCCTCTGCCACTTCTTTCGCTCGGCCGGTTCCTCTTTCGAAGTCAGGCAAATCACGCCTGGGGACGATGGGAGCTGTCGTAGTTCTTCCCTGCTTCTCTCCCCCCTCTGCCGCCCTCATTCCCCTGAGCTCCAGACTCCCACGGGGGCAGGCCAGGAAGGATCTGACCTCGCGGGGTACTCACTGGTCCATCTGCCCCTTCAGCACCAGGTTGGGGGTGGTGCCTGTCAGGGTGGCGATCCCCCCGATGCTGGCGGAGTAGCAGACGGCCAGGCTCATCCCCTTGCAGAAGGACTGGTGCTTTTGCTCCAGCCGCTGCTCCTCTTCGGCCGTGTCCTCCTTCTCCGGGGTCTCCAGGGGGGCGTTCCCTGGGGAAGGGGCTTGGGGGCCGCAGGAGGGAGACGCTGAGAAGAAGCACACCTGGATTAGAGCAAAGCCTTGGTTCATAAAATGCAGGCCCAGCACGTTGAGCTGTCAGTAAACCAGACCTCGCTGCCCGAGCTCCCTGGGAGCGGGTCTTTGGCAAGGCCAGTGGCTCTGGGTTGCCTGTTCAAGACCACCCCCCCTCACCCCCAAATATTGCGTTAGGAAAAAATAATATCACCCAGCCAGTAGCTGCAAGCAAAGATGGCCCACTGCTTTGGCCAAAAAAGATGGGTCATGGGGGGGGGGTTTCGAAGAAGAGTTCAGTTCTGGACTACCGTTCCCATGATCCTCCATGCTGGCCAGGGGATTCTGGGAGTTGTAATCCTTGGGGAAATCTTTCGGAGCTCTGCTTCCCAAGGGCCTTTTATTCCTGGGGAAATGTCTCGCCCTTAGAGAGGGAGGAAGACAGGGTGGCGTGGGAGGAGGTGACTCTGGAGGAAGGCATGCTGGAGCGCCCCCCCGAACCCTTACCTTCCTGGGGCCTCCTGGGTTCCTGCAATTCGAAGCCCGGGTTGAGGCTCCCATTGGCCAGGCTTCCCCACGGAGCCCGGAGCCTCTCCATCTCGGACCGGTGGAGTTCATCCAGGACCGCCTGGGCAATGGGCACCATCATGGCGGTGGTGGCGGTGTTGCTGATCCACATGGAGAGGAAGGCGGTGATCCCCATGAAGCCCACCAGGAGCCTGCCACGGAAGCAAACCATGACTGAGACCAGGAGGATGGGACGGCTCTCCCCAGTAGACCACGCTGTCCCCCAACCCCCCCCCAGACACCTGATTACACCGGGTCAGAACTCATAGGTATGACTTTTGGAGGCTCCAAAATTCACACTGGAATCCCTCTGTACGCTCTGGCCAGAAGCCAGGAAGAGGAACGGAGAGGAGCCCAAGAACTGAGCACCTGAGTCGGTCAGTTTTCCTCATCCCTCCTCCTCTCTTTTCCTTTTGTGCCATGGCTTTTACATGGTCAACCTACAGAAAAGTCTGGTATATATAGATATTTTAAACCAGTCTCTTTTTCAGGATGAGAAGCTGGTCAGGGTGAGAAAGAGAGAGAGAGAGAGAGAGAGAGAAGCAGAGAACATCTCCTCCGAGGTTGCCCTCAGGAAAGTCAGGGGTCGATGAGGACTAGAAACCTGGGTCTCCCAAACTCCCAGCCCTCTATTGTGATGGCACCACCCGGCTTGCTCAAACCTCAAATCACAGCAATAGCAGGATGGGTAGAGTTTGGATAAGTCCGTTTTTAGATCCCACATCCGAACCTCTTTCTTCCCCAATCATGAAGGCTTCTGCCCCGCCCGGTGGTGCCCCCCCCCAAAAAAAGTCCCTCTTCTTGCTATTTTTGTCCCGGAACAATCCAGGAACAAGTAGCTTTGCCCCGAGATCTGTCCGGGGTGCTGAACTGTTCATCTCTGATTATTTATCTTTTTCTAGAGGGATGGTCCGAAATCCAGTTGGAAAGGGCCTTGCTTGCTGTGTGTGAGCCCTAAGACCCCTCCAACCCCCCCCAAAAAAGGCATCCTCTTAGGATTTCAGGCTTCTGATGAATATCCTTCCATTGATGGCTGCTTTGGATTCATTTCAGCGACATAATTTCGCACGTGTGGGTGGGTGGGGAGTCGCGTGACAGCAGAGTTCCTTTCCTGTCTATTTGTTTAATTATCTCTAGTTATTAGATTTCTTGAAGTCGTAGAAGGACAGGGTCGGAAGAGACCCCCCATGGTCATCTAGTCTGACCCCCTCGATCGAGAAACCCAACGCTAAAGGATCCTTAATGAAAGGCCCCCCCTCTATGCTGTGTAGAAACCGGCAATGGAGAGGGTTTTTGGAAGAGGCTGTTCCACTCCAGAGCATCCACGGCCACTGGAAAGGTCTTCCTCATGTCGGTTTGGAAGCTCGTGGCTTCCTGTTCGGATTCAGTGGTTTGTGTCTCAGTTCGTGGAGCAGACAGAAACCGAACCACGCTGGCTCCCTTCCTCCACGGGGAGCCCTTCAGAGGCCTGGTGATGGATGGCCTCTAGGTCTCCTGGCTAAAAAAAGCCCCAGCACCCTCAGTTGTTCCCTGGTTTCAGACCCCTGCCCCCTGACCGTCTCCCCCATTTGGGCCCCTCCAGTTTTCTCCCTAAGCCCGACCCCCCCTTCCACCCCTCCAACTCCCCTCCTGGCCCCAGTGGTGCTACTCACGCAGCCGGCCGGACGCCGATGACCAAGAGGACACTCAGAGCAATGCGCTTGTGTAGGTTCCAGTGCTCCACTGCAATGGCGACGATCAGGCCTCCGATAAAGAGCATATTAGTGTCCTTCAGGTACTCCTGGCACACCTGAGGGGGGGGAGAAAGGAGGAGGGGTGGTCCTGGATCAGCCCACTGCTCAAAATCGGAAGGTAAACCCCCCTGTCCGCTCCAGATTGGGACAATGGCTCCGGAGATGCAGGGAAATTAAACACCTCTAAGCCTCGGATGGGTTGCTCGAGTCTTTTTAAAAAAACTACCATCTAGTCCTTCTGTAACTGATGAACTTCTATCTCTCTCTCTGTGTTCTTTGTTTCTTTGGAGTAAGGATGCTCACCTGGGGCAGATTTTGTACAAAAGTACCTCCATACAAAAAAAGAAAAAAGCAAGGGTGGAAATGAGGAAGACTGAGGGGTTTTGTCAAGTCATGATGACCTGAATAAGTACAAAGACTTTCGTGAGCATTCTCGAGAGCTATGCTTTGCATGCCTGAAACATGTTCTGCTGCGGCTTCCCTGCATCCCTAGCACTGAGCTGTGCTTTGCACACCTGGAATCTGCTGGGCTGTGGATCACAACCAGCTCTTCCACCTCTTCTCCTGCCCATCCTTCCCCCGCTGTTCCTCTCTCTCTCTCTCTCTCTCACACACACACACACACACACACACGCCTCCCTCCTCCCATCATCCTGCCCTGCCTCTCCGCTCCCTGTTCCCTCTTCCCTTACCTCCGTGGAGTCCATGACGCCCATGAGAGGGAAGAGGATGACGGGGAAAAGGGAGGTGATCGCCAGCGGGAGAGCCTCGGTGCACCAGAACACGGCCATCAGGATGATGGTGTAGCCACATAGTGATTCCTGGAAATAAAGGGGTAAATAAGACTCAGGCAGCAAGGAGGAACCTGGCCAGGGCTGACCCGGCAGCCCCTTTCCAAGGCTCCAGGCAGAAAAAGACTACCTGGAGGCCCCAGTGATTCGAACCTGAGACGTGCGGCTAGCCAAGCTTTCTCTGAAGAAAGGGAGGAAGCTGCTAGTCCTCATGGATCGAAGCTCTGCTCCTGAGCAGCATTTCCAGGTCGGACTGCAGAGAGCCCTCCGTCTCAAACCCCAGAGCATCACGGCTGCTGGCTGGTGTGGGCCGGGAGCTGAGAATCTGTGTCCCTCTGGATGTGGTCAGACATGGGCTCTCTATCGTCCCCTCCCCGGGCTGTGGTTCTGCCCCATGGGTTTTGTAGTTCAACGGGGCAGGAGTCTGAGCATGACGATATCCACCCCTGGGGATGGGGGGGGTAAGGCTGAGCCAGACCGAGAGAGGGCCGGCGTGCCGAGCCTTCCACACCCCACCACCATGAATCATTGATTGCACGAGGAGCCTAAATACAGGTTAGTCACGAACTCCTGCCTCTCCGCCGGAGGCCGCCGGGTGGACTCTGCCCATCCGAAGCCTCACTTTTCCTGGGACTGCCAGGGTCTCCCAGGGCGCCTTCGCTGGGCGGAGAGGGGCGGCTCAGGGCGGGCGGGTGGCAACGCTGAGAAGGAATTCATGTGTCTTCCCCCACACCCCCTCTTCTTCGGGGCGTGAAAGGGAGAGGCGGAGGGACGTGAGCCAACCTGGAAGCTGAAAAAGAACAGCGGGGCAGTCTGGTGCAGTGGGTGGAGCATTCGATATTTTGTTTGTGTGTGGGGGAGGAAATCTAGGTTGAAGCCCTTGGTGAGTCTTGAAAATCCCTGGTTGAGTCCCATTTTCATTCTCTCCACCTGACCCACCTCTCTGGACCATTGTCATGATAAAGGAGGAGGAGGAGGAGGAGGAGGAAAAGGGCCTCCGAGCCCATTTGGAATTCCTTGTAGAACAGAAACAGCCCCCATGCATTAAGGGGCTGAATGACCCTTTTGTGGCTCAGGGAAGTGGAAGATGGAAACACGGCCCATCTGGGTGCAGAGTAGGGGGTTGTTCTCCAGGGAAGCATGGCGGCCGAAGAAGCTAGTCCTCATGGGTGGAAAGAGAGACTAGAACACTGGACGTCCCCTTAGGCTGAGTCAAGCCGCTGGCCTCTCTCTCTCTCTCCTTCGGTATCGTTTCCACGGGCTGGCAGGCAGCGGCAAAGGGGTTCAACAAGGGCCGTCCTGCATGCCAGAACCACCGGCTCCGATTCTGGGCTGCAGTCCTCTTTGTTCAGAAGTAAAGGACAGAGGTCGGAAGGGGCAAAACAGGTGAGATTCAGGATTCAGGAGAGAGAGAGAGAGACACCCCCTTCCCATGAAACCTGGGAGAACCCTTACTGCATCTCGAGGCTGTCTCGCTGGTTGTGTTGTGGCCTTTAGGGTTAGGAGTCAGAGATCGGATCGGTTTGCTCCTCCTTTGTGAGCCCTCCAAAGGATAAGGGCTGACCAGCTCCCACTGGTCTCTCCAAGCGAAGGGGGGTGCCGGAAGGGTCAGGGAAGAAGCAAGACAGCCATTCTGGAATTCCTTCCGCGGGAGAGACAAGCCGCCCCCCCTCCGACTCTAAAGGTGTCCACCGGCTTGCCTCTTTGGCATTCTTGGGAAACAGTGGGTCTCACAAGCTTCTGCTTAATTGAGGTCCCTTCAAGAAGGGTCATGTCCGGCATGGGGGGGGGGGGCAAAAGAGGCGACAGGCTACGTGTTTCCAAGCGCTCCACCCTGGTTTCCTGGGGAGAAAGTCTGGCAAAGCCCTAAAGCTGTCGTTTGGGGACCTAAGGAGGCCTAATCAAGGCAAATGGCTTTTTAATGACTTCACAGGTTGCCCTTTGCACCGACCCAAGTGCCTGGGGGGAGTCCCTGCCTCGCCACTCTTCTCTCTCTCTCTCTCTCTGTTTTCCCCAAGGCAGGGAGGGAAGCAAGCCCCCCACCACCAACAACATACGGTACCTTGCCAGGTAAGAGCAGGGGCAGAGGGAGAAACGCCAGGGGGGTGAGGATGATGATCAGGTAGCTCCGGTGGGCCAGGATCTGTCTCCACATGATGGCATCGGTGCCCGGTCGCCAGCCCCAGTTGGTGGAATGGCGTAAGACCTGTTCTCCGAGGGCCTATAAAGGCTCTGGAGGCATGGGGGGGGCCGACCTTGGCACCCGTTTGGCGCCTGCAGGGGAATCCGGCAGCCAAGGAGCGCCTGGGGGGGGGGAAGGAAAGGAGACGGAAGAGGCAAGCAGGAGAAAGAGGGAGAGAGGGAGGGAGAAAGCCCGGGATCCTTGGGCAGCCG